TGTCAGGAACATAGCAGCTTTCAGTCCAGGCTGATTTGTGAATTAACAAAGTGCCTCCCTGTCTCATAGGCCTTTGGAAAATCCTGCCCAGCTTTCCTGAACACAGGCGCTCCTGGGTGATGTCACTTGCAAAATCATATTTGTCAGAGAAACGTATAAATTAACGGAAGCAAAAAGTGTTAAATAAACTTTTACTTTGAGCATGCAGGGCTAGGAGTAATCATCCATTTTAGGCAGGGGCTGTCAAAAGTGCAAGACTGGCTGTCTGTGTTTTTGCTCATTGCTTTGTTTGCCTTGCTGAGATCAGATTTTCAGTGATGGTGATGTAGGAAAAGCTCAAGGGCTCAAGGGCCAACCAACATCACTTTATGACAAGGGCCCCCTTACCCCTGCAAGACTGCTACAGAGGTTTTGTTTACACTGACAAACTCTGAATGTCTTTATGGAACCGTGTGGAAGGTTTTATTATTTAAAATGTTCCATACCTCTGAAGTGTATCTGATGAATAATTCACTTTGACTGAGCCTTCCATACGGCCTTAGCCTAGGGTACAAGATGGTAGTTTTGCTTAAAATATTCTCTGTATTTCAAGATACAGTTATAAGTGTTTTATTCCTCCACTCTTCAAGCATATTGAGTAATTAAGAAAAAGGAGCGGATATAATTGCCATTCATTAATAAGGACATAATCTTTTACAAAGTACTCCATGTAAATCGGAAGGCAACCGTTAATTATAACATAAATCAAGTGTTTCCTCAAAACTACATGGTTTTGTGTGCTGAAAGTTTTCGGTCATGCTGGGAGACCATATCACCAACGTTCCGATTTAAACGGAGAATACACAGGATTTCTTATCACCAAAATGCTGTCTGAAATTTTAAAACCTGCCTACACCTAATGTTTAAGTCTAGGAAAGTCTTGCAAACTAAAACGGTAATATTTCTGTTCCTTGGTTTTTAAATCACTTCGTTTTCTTCAAATGCTTACAAGCACTTGTAAATATTTACAAGCAAGACAAATAGATTTTTCAAGTGATGTGTTAGGAGTTAGGCAGGTGCATTCATTAGTATTAATCTACTTTAGCAATTAGCAAAGAGTTGCAGGGAAATCGAACCTGAGATCAGAAGGGCACAGAGAGAGAAAAATCTGGGGAAATGGCTGAGGTCAATTAAATGATTGAGGTCAATGTCCCTTTGCCCTCCCACCCTCCCTTGCACTCAGTGGCTGTGTGGATTCCACAGGTCTGCCCAGATGTGTTGCAAGAAAACATCAATGTTTGCCGAGCACAGACAGCAGAGACTAGAAAATGAGAGGAGGGTTGAAAACATGCAGCTCGTCGCAGTGTGGTGACAGGGGCAGCCTCTTTAACGTCTGGCCGCCCAGACTGTCAAGCCATTGCCAAAAACCTGCTGTCCTCCTTGTGCTACTGTTCCCGACTCCATTAGTTTGCTTATTGGATTATTTTTCAATCCCGCCAATTTGTGTGCCTGTTTGGTAATTTGTTTGGTATTGTCCTTTTGTTTTGTATTCATCTGACTGCCGTGCGTTGTGCTACTATATACATGTAGTATACAGTACTTCATCCAATCAAGGTCTCCCCTCCTCTATTCTTTGTAGACATTGATAAAAAGTTATTGGCTAGTAATGTATAGATTTCTATTTGATTAAAGCTCATTATTCATATGTACATTTAAGATGCATGTACAGGTACATGATACTGAATGTTGTTTTACATTAACTTTGTTTTAATAAATGGAATGGGAAAAGATCTTACGATGAACACTGAACTTTGTGCAATATTTTTCGTTGATCTTCAAAATTGTGTCCTTTATACAGTAACTAAGGTAAGGAACTAAAAGTTTTGTTAATTTTTTTTTCTTCCTTTCAGGAAATCACAACACTTTAATCATGTCAGTCCATAAATCATTGCTTATTTCTGTTGATGCATGTACGGCCATTACAAAATAAGATTTTTTTAAAAGCCAGTATTAAAAGGTTAATGGCTAAGGTTTAATGTTTCATCTAAGGGTCAAACCACCAATGATTAGGTGAACAACTGGTCTGATGTTTATCCCATTCCTCACACAGACAAGTACAATACAGTGCAGTAATTGAAATTTGAAGCTAAATACACATGCTTTCTGCTACCACAATAATGCTCCAGGCTTGTAATGTGTATTAAATGACGTGTGGCAATGTATACGTTTAGCTGTTAGGTTCTGTTAGTGATACCATAACCATTTGTGTGCAAGCCTTTCAGCATCCAAATACACCGACTGGTTCTTAGCGACTGCTTCAACTGAACTCTTGCTAAAAATGCCTTGTAAAGATGTTTAAGGCCAAAATCAAAAAGCAGCCACCATTGAAAAGAAAATGAAACTACTGAAAGAACAGCATGAAGGACAGATTTCCCTTGGATTGATTGTATGTTTTGTACATTCTAGTCAAAGTAAGTTCTCAATCTGCAGCCAGTGCCAGGGACGTATTACCACTTATTACCACTTCTCCCTATTGCCTATAAACAAGACAAACATATAAAATAGAGTTGAAAGCCGTGCTCAGTAATGTTTGATTGCAAATGACCAGGGAAATGTGTAGACAGAACACGATGAGACTAGTGACAGTAAGAGTAGGAATAAAAAACCTCGTTGTGTTAATAAGTGCTGTACTACATCAGCTACGGTAGCTTTAACATAGGGATCAGATGAATATATGTCCACCACTGTTTTCGTAACCATCACTTTTTCGGGCTTCTTTCCAAAGTCAGTATTTGATCATCAGCAAGATAATGACCTGTATAGTCTGACTGACATCTATTCACTGCTTTCACAAGGAGAAATGACTTTACAAAGTTCAAGTTAAACCGATAGTTTTGGAGCTTACCTCAACATTTTGTTTTTCAACCCTATCTGCAAAAGATTAACATTTCCAAGAGGTGTGATAGAAATGGTCAACATGTTAATGAAATGCTGGCTTTCCGTTGACTGAACAAGATGGAAGTGATTTTTTAAAATAGATAAGCCTCCTTATCCGAAACTGTTTGCAGATGTTTCTTAAACTGTACAAAGGGGGATTCTGACCAACATGTTTAACTAATCACAAAGAAAATTGCCACATCAAATAAAAACCATACAGACATTTTATGCATGTTAATCACATTCTGGAATCTATTTAATTAACGTGCTTTCTGATGCTATTCTGAATATTCTGTACCTGTGTCTGCACCCAGGTCTGACCAAGTAAATGAAATATTTAAGAAAGGAGAAAAAAGTGGTCCATGTCTGATTTTACCCCCCTGAATGGACTTACTCACAAAGTATTCTGACAGAAAAGTATTTCCTGTTTTCGACCAGTGTGTATATAATCAATAACTCCTGTTTTCCCAGTTCACTGTGCACTATTAAATTATAAACTATATAATACATTCTGTCTTACTGGGAAAGGACTTGCTCAATTTAATTGCTTTCTAACTAATTTCCTTACAATGAGGAAGTGAGGGTTCGTGGTAGGATCATTGCACCTGTTTGTTGTTGCTATCGTGCTACTGAACAGGTGTAGAATTGTACACAGAGAGAGATAGTGATACTCTAAACCTAAAAAAAGAAAGAAACAATAAAGACATTTTATTCTCTCTACTGCCATCCACCTGTTTCAATTTGGACAAGCAAGCTTTCTTTAAGGCAACATTGGAGTTCACCATTGTTCACCATTGTCTTCACATAGTGTAAGCTTCTACCATTGTCCACTGACTGATAAGAATACAAATAGGTGTTTGCTGCAGAATTCACACCTCTATGCTTTTAGTTGGAGAACTGGGTGGGCTGACTGTTCATAAATAAAGTTTTCGAGTCCTTTCTTCAATTCCAGCTGAAGCTTTTGTTCTTGTTGCAGTTCACCCTCAGTGTATTTGTAGAGTGTGTCAGATTGGGCTCATTGTTCCTCAGTCGTTCGCATGATCATCTGTCTCCCCAGAGCTCCCTCGTTTAGCTGCGAACAGCTGACACATTCAAGTTTAAATTATGCAGAAACATTGAAGGAAGATGTCCACATGCTTTTTTCTTAGTCTTTCACAAAAAACATAAGAACAGTTACAAATGAGAGGAGGCATTTGGTAGCTAGTAGTAAATTGATATGAGGACATTTCTTGAGAGAACCTAGCATATTGGGCTTCAGCAACATAACTGGGTATCAACTGTCTCCAGTTCTTGGTTTTAAATTTAGTTTGTGTTTCCCTGTTTGTTCTAAAGTCCACTGGGTTGATTTTTTTCAGTGTCTTTGTCAATGCCTTACATATTGCAGAGGAATTGAAAATATTCTACCACAATATAATCTAAATTGTTAGGCTGATCAGCCCTATTCAGAAAACAAAAAAGCTGTCCATAGCCTCTAACTAGAACTTTATGTACATAAAAGGCAGAATTAGAAGTCTCTGGACCCCCTCCCAGCACTGTGAAATGCCAAGAGCTAATTAATATTCATGTTCATAATTCATAGCAACTGTATGCTTGTAGAAGAAAGGAGTTCCTTATCCTGTACCTGAAGAAGGCTCCACAGCCAGAACATTATTTTTTCTTCTTTTACATTCTCAATGGGGAATTAAACTCTTCTTGTTCCTAGACAAATAAATAGAAAGGCAGGCAGACATATGGACACGTAAACATCAGTAAAAACAGAGTACATGTGAATTTTCCTTGCTTTGGTCTGTATGGGGGGGGGTCTGTACAGTACAGTATGTATGTGCAACAAGAAGTTACCCCATCTGGGTACCCTGTGCACGGTAACCCCCCCACTGCCTTTGAAGTCGAGTTGCTAGAAAGACTGAAGGGAGGAGAATGAGAGACTGCTTGGAAAAGGATTGGTGGATTTATGTTGTTCCTCTCAAATCTAATTGGAGAAAAGATTTATTTCCCTCTGGTGTCCCCGTGTACAGCATTTCAAGGCAGAGGTTGGGCGGGATATGCAAATCCATTCCTTGCTGCCTGCCCCCTTGAAGAGACACCAGCAGGCTGTAGCTGGGAGGGAAGCAGAGCTGGCTTAGAAAGCCCAGTTAGCAGGTCAGCATCAAGAAGGCTAGTTCATGCAGTAGCTCTCCATCTGCCACTCTCTGTCTCCCTCTCTTGCTTTCTTTCTCTGTAACTTAGTTTCTCTCTGTCTTTTTTGCACCCCTCCCAGACCGCGCAAGAGGTGATGATGCAGCACAGATGTTGCAGATGCGATTTACTTTAGTGTCTGTTTGAAATCTCATGTGGCCAGCTTCAAAGTTCTGGGACTAAGCCAGGATTTTGAGTACACTACCTGCTCTTCCGGGAAAAAGGGGATCTTTTTCGACCGAAGCTGACACTTTTTATTTTCTTCTGATTTTTTTTTACTGAGAACTCACTTACCGTGCAGTAATGAAGCTGCACTTTTTCCAAGTGGTTCTCCATCCATTTCTGTTTGGAGTTTTCCTGACTCTCATTGATGCCAAAGGTACCTTCTATGGCAGTCCTTACAGGTACAACCTGTACAAATCTGGATCCAGCCCTCATTACACTCCAGGCAAACCCATGGGCAGACACAAGTGAGTACCCCTCTTGTCCTTGTAACACGATTGTAATGAATGCACAGATTATGTATGCTTCACGTGCAATTACACAGATTACGGATATTGTTGTGACTTTAATTATATAATAAACCAGAAAGAAGACAATTGATGACTTGCATCTTACTGCCTGTGGATTGGCTCTGTAGCCAATGTCTGATCTGATAACAGTGTTAAAGAAGGGACAGTCAATGACTGACAGAAAACAGAGGTTGTAGAACCTTGTTAAATGTACCTTAGGATATTTTTGGACTTACATCATTGTTTTACCATACAAGTCTATGAGGTCATATGATTTCAATAGACCTTCATTATATTTTACAAATACATGAATATCAGAATACACCCTGTGAAAAGGTTCTAATATATTTCAGAAGAATTTCTAATTTTCTGAAAAACACCTCAGTATTCTTCCTGTCATGGGGGTTCTCTTATGGAGGTGCTTAAGCACAAGCTTCTAACAATCTGGGCATTTCACAGACCTAACAGGGGACAAATCCTTTGCTTTTGTTCAACTTAGCTTTAGAGTTGTATCTGTTCAGATGGTTTGCATGCTGCTTGCTGGTTTTCCATAGCCATTTTTATTTTGTGGCAAAACTTCTTTTATTAACTTAACCAAATTCCCAGCGGAGTCTAAAAAGGTCATATTTCAGATTCAACTTTCAATTCAAAATAGTAATACCTGAGTACTGGAAGTCTACGAATACGTGTTTTTTTGGCAAGCCTGATTAATGTTAGTTTAATATTAGCCCCAACTGTGCTTAAGACTGATAAATCCAGAAGTGAGATTGCCTCATATTGGTGATGTGCAACTTGAAAATCAGTGAACATGTTCTCTAGTATTCTTGCCCTGTGTCTTCTGAGCGATTCTAAAAACTGTTGCCCTTGTTGGACGTAATTGTGTCTGGGCTCTCACCAGTTTGATTTTATTTCCTTTGGCCATAGTGATTTTAATAGTAGGGTCAAAACCTCGCTTTCACTGGAGTGCCCCAGATGGATTCATAAAAAACATGACATGTTACAGTATGTCAGCATAAGGTCTTTAGACTGCAAACATAGAACCTCTAGAAAGATCAAATGGCCTTTCTCACAAGAACACCCGTGGAGTGATCCGAGAGACACTGAGTAATGCTGCTCAGCAGCAGAATCTTTCCTTCTCCTTCGCAACTGGGGATTTTTCTTCATTGCAGCAGAGCCTATGATTTGACTGCCTCACCCCCCTTTTTAAAACAAATGGTTCCTGGTGAGAGTCCATTATGAGCAAACACTTATTTGGAGTGACATCTTAAACAATGATCACAAAGGTCACACCATACTGTATTCCTGGCTGAAGTGCCCAAAAAAGAAGGTTTTTTGCTTAAATTCACCTCATTAGGCTCCGATCTTTCCCCCAGTCTTTTCTGCCATCCACCCTTCCCTTTTTGAAAAGATTTCTTGAACATGCAAACTCATTCTTATTACTTAGAATTTTATCTTGCATTTGTCTTGTACTTGGAAGTCACCGTAGTGTGCTACAAAAGTACAAGTATGCACCTTTTTCAGCCTTGCACTTAATTAATTAAATATTGCTATGTTAAATACAGTTTGTTAACAAGAACTTTTTTAAAACAAGGGAACCCAGGCACTTGAATTCATTCCACATCCAATTGGCTTCGCAGTTCAGTCACAATTTTACATTTTAAAGACAAATTCAAGAAGAAATATGTATAAAAGCAAAGCCAAGGGTGGATTTTTAAAGAGAATTTTTTTTAGAAGAGCCTACTGTTCTGGCCAAGTTCCCCTGTTCATTCCAGTATACGTTATACATGTATCCAAAGTCTGGGTTTGATCATCGGGTCAGATCCAGGTGACATAGCACTCTGAACTCTTGAAGTCCAGAGAGTTCAAACTTGGCTCAGGTCAGGGGCTGTGTCTGTAAGACCTGTTTAGTTATTCTAATGGTGATTTCCCTGAAGAAAAATAACTACATTTTAAGTACAGCAAGAGTCTCTGCTATGCATTAACAAACATAACTACAACCAAACATGACAGCTGTGCAAAATTACTTTGCTTTTTGAAATATAGTAGCATGGTCACTGCATCTTAATACAAAGCATGTAAAGTATAAAGTTAACATTTTCCAGGGATGCATTAGTGTTCTTAAATAGCATCTCTTGTATTTAAGTAGGTTCTTTTTGCTTTACAAAACAAAATGGCAATTAAAATGGAGAAAGAGAACACGTGAATTTCACCACAAATGTTTACTGTTCTTTTAAAGAGGATTGACTTTGTTCAGCTCCCAGCAAATCTAGGATTTGCATACCAAAATCTTTAGCTACACTGGGCAAGTAATATACAGCATATAGAATCAGTGTAGAAGCCTGCTAGCTAGCAGCTAAATTCAGTGAGCAACAGGTTCATACATTACTGTATATAGGTAGCTTGTTGATTTGCAAAAAAGCTATTCTGTTTCTTACCACAACTTCAATTTCACTTTAAAATAATTTCTAATCAAAATACAATGCAGCCTTTGTAATGATCTGGTTGATAAACTCATTATACTATTTTTGAAGAGTGTTTAGATAATTTATCTTAAATGCATTGCTGACTTAAGTCCCATACAACCTCAGAAGTACACAAAGAGTTTCTAGACTTGTATAATTTTTTATCCTGAAAAGTTGCAAAATAAGAACTTGAAGCAGAAGAACCTTAATGATAGCAGTCACATGCCCTGTTACATAATGCTAAAATGCAGTCCATTGTATTGAGCTGAAATGGTAAATAGCCAAAATAAATACAGTACCTCAGTCTGACATAATATTCTTCTGCAGTGCCATAATGAGAAGTGAACTGCTGTAGATCTCATTTTCATTGCTATGTCATGTATAAAGAGCAGAGGATTGAAATCAACATTTTTTTTTCTTCAGACGAAGG